GGACATGAGGGTCTCTGGTCACCCAGCCTCCTCCTGTCCAAGAGGGATTCCAAAAGGTCCTCCATTTTGGCCAGGACACAGAAGCATGAATTTACATATTTATATTAGTGTTTTTAGCTTTTTTATTTTTGTTCATGTCCTCCATTTCCCCCCAAATATCCTCCATTTTGAGCAGGACTGAGAAGCATGAATTTATATTTATATGAGTGTCATCAGCGTTTTAATGTTGTTAAAGTCCTCCATGTTTCTTGAAGGTCCTCCATTCAGAGCAGGACTCAAGCATGAATTTATATGAGTGTTTTTAGCTTTTATTTTGTAAGGCCCTGCATTTTTCTTGAAGGTCCTCCATTTTGAGCAGGACTCAGGAGAATACATTTAATATTTATGAGTGTCTTTATCCTTTAATTGTCTCCATGTCCTCCATTTTTCTTGAAGGTCCTCCATTTCGAGCAGGACTCAGAAGCATAAATTTAATATTTCTTTGAGTGCTTTTAGCTTCTATTTTGCAAGGTCCTGCATTTTTCTTGAAGGCCCTTCATTCTGAGCATGACTAAGAAGCATGAATTTATATTGATATGAGTGCTTTTAGGCTTTATTGTGTTCATCTCCTCCTTTTTTCTTGAAGGTCCTCCATTTGGAGCAGGACTCAGGAGCATGAATCCACATTTATATTAAGTGTTTCTAGCTTTTATTTTGGAATGTATTCCTTTTTTTTTTTTTTTTAATCCTCTGGTGCTTCTTCTCTGGGGAACTGATCCTCTCTTGTATATGGACACTGACAGAGTGACCAGAGCTCCTCACTGCAGAGGAGGACAAAGCCATTGCAAAATGTAGAGCATTCAAGAAAAAAATAGAAGACATCCCAACACAAAGGCTAAAATAACTAATATAAATGTAAATTCCTGCTTCTGAGTGATGCTCAAAATGGAGGACCTTTTGGAATTCCTCCTGGACAGAAGGCTGGTATGGATGACATATCTTGGGAAAGAAGGATGTGTCTGGTCACCCTGACACTGAAGGGCTTCCTGGGCAGTTTCAAGCAGGCCAAGTTGAGGACACGGAGCCATGTCCCCCGCTCTTCCTCAGGCACATCTCTGCCTCACAGCTCTTGGGATTTGCTTTCCCTGGGAGCTGAGCCTCTCTTATTTCTAGCTTTGGTCTTCTGCAAGCTATGTTTCCTTCCTTGGTTGCTTTGTCTGCCCAGCTTCCATGCCCAAGCTGTTTTTTGGTGGCTGGAGTAGGGGGGTGCAGCCGCTGTTTCCTGTTGGGAGAGATGCTGTGTGGGGGCCTTTGCTGAAAAGGCACCCCTTTCTTTCAAAGCCTCAAAGCAGGACAGCGTCTACTCAGGTTTATGCTCCTGAGGAGACTCCCCCTCCATCAGAGTGCAAAGGGATCTTGTAGACCCTTTGAGACTAACTGAAAGAGAGAAACTGGTAGCATGAGCTTTCCTAGACTTGAGTCTATGGTCCAAAACACACTGCAGAAACCTTCCAGTTTGAGACCTCTTTAACTGCCTTTGCTCACTGCTAGAAAATCCTGGGAACTGAAGTTTTGTGAGACATTCAGCCTTCTCTTGCAGAGAGCTCTGGTGCCACAATACAATACCCAGGATTCCCTAGCACTGAGCTAGGGCAGTTAAAGTAGTCTCAAACTGGATTATTTCTGCAGTGTGTTGTAGACCTCAGGGAAAGTGTAATCCCATCCAGCACAAACTGTTATTCCCTATTCTCTGAGCTGCCTTTTGACTGACCAGGAACATCTCTGTCCCTGGATAAGTATACAAAGGGATCTTGTAGCACTTTTGAGACTAATGGGAAGAAAGAAGCTGGGAGCATGAGCTTTGCTAAATTTGAGCCTACTTCCTCAAATGCAATTGGTTGAGTGGAAAGCCCAGGGACAGACCTACCATATCTACTCAGCTATAGGTTGATTTCATGTATTAATTGAGGGTAGGTTTTGGGGCCAGAATTGTGGATTTTGATATGACCCATGAATAAGTCGAGGATAAAACTCATGAGGCATGTAACAAAGGATCTAAAGGGTGAAGCAGAGAAAAACAGTGCCAAAGGCATAACTGTTTATGCTCACCCAAAAGGTTGGATATATGAGAGAATAGAAGAGGGCCAGTGCTTTCAGAGGAGATCACACTCTTTCCTTTCACCAGGGGATGATTCCTTTTTTGGTTCCTTTTTTAATGGTTAAAGTACAGTACTTAAGTTAGCCTATTATTAAGTTGACTCAGGTTTTTTTGGTTCAATTATTAGACTAAAATTTCTAGACTTAGGGCCTAAGCAGACTGCCAGAAGTAGTGCACATTAAATTGAGGCACTGCCCTGGCTCAGTGCTAGGGAATCATGGGAATTGTAATTTATTGTGGCACCAGAGCTCTCTGACAGAGAAGGCTCAATGTCTCAGAAAAAAATACAATTCTCATGATTCCCTAGCACTGAGCCAGGGCAGTGCCTCAATTTAATGTGCACTATTTCTGGCAGTCTGCTTAGGCCTTTAGATATGAGTCTTAGATATACAGTATATAGCAATTTGTGTATGAGAATGTCCATAGGAATTAAAACTTTGTGGTTGTGGAGATGCTATATAGGTCTGTCACTGGGCTTTTTGCTCTACCAAATGCATCTGGAGAAGTGGGCTCAAGTCTACAAAAGCTCAAGCTACCAGCTTCTTTCTTTCAGCTAGTCTCAAAGGTGCTGTAATAACCCATTGCATACTGATTTTCCAGACTAACACGGCTATGTTTTTGAATTCTCCCCCCCCCCCCCCCCCCCCCCCCCCCCCCCCCCAGATGCATGGGATGAAGTGCATTGTGCCAGAGACATTGCTTTCTAGGTTCCTGTTAACATATGGAAATAGAGCTGGATGTAGTTGGGAATAAAGCTGAGTGGCTGTATTTACTATTCTTCCTGAGTAAAAAAGGAATTAGAAGCAGACAGTGGAGAGTGACATGCGAGTGGGTGGGAGGTGTGGAGAGATCCCAGGTTGAGAGAAAACAAGAGCTCAGTTGGGTCTTAGTGCAGTGAAAATAGCACAACACATGAACAACTGACAGCCAAACAAATTCCCAAAATGCAGTGTTACAACAGCTTGTAGTAATAGTAATAATAATAATAATAATGTGATGATTTGTGTCATGGCAACTCAAACAGGACTTCAACTTTTGTTGAATCAGAATTGACCTTTAGGATTGCTGGGCTTTCTGCTCCCTATAAAGTAATTTTTTTTTTTCAGATGGTATTTTTTTCCAGCCTTGTGATAAATATGAAGTTAATTTGGATCAGATTTGGTCACCTAATAGCAGTGAATCTTTATCTGGAAGTAAGTCCTGTTGAATGTTGTGGAAGTTATTTCTGAATGGATAGGCACAGAGTTTAACCATTGGTGTTTATATAGTGCCTCTTATGGAAAACTATTGAACAAGATGGCTAGCTAGCATTCCAAAGTTGGCATTCGTGGGACATGGGTCTTTCATGAGACATAAAAATATGAATGTGCTGCTTTTCTTAGCAATTGGAACACATCTCAAATATTATCTTGTTTTGAAATGTTTTGAAATGCTGTACGCCGCCCCGATTGCCTAGCAGAGGGGCGGGATATAAATTATTATTATTATTATTATTATTATTATTATTATTATTATTATTATTATTTATTGTCACGCCCCCCCATGCTGACACGTACTATTGAAACTGCCCTTGTTATGTGCCATTAAGGGTCAAAACATACTGCAGAAATATTCCAGTTTGAGACCACTTTAACTGACCTGGTTCAATGCTAGGAAATTCTGGGAATGTTAACTGTTTGTTAGACATTTTGTCTTTTCTGTCAGAGAGCTCTGGTGTCAAACAAATTACAGTTCCCAGAATTGCACTAAGCCAGGGTAGTTAAACTGGTTTCAAACTGGATTATTTCTGCAGTGTATTTTGGCCCTAAGTTGACTTGAATTTATGATGACTTTATGAATGGGAGACCACCAAGAGACCCTGTCAATAACAGCCATGCTCAGGTCTTGCAGATATAGGACTGTGGTTTCCTTGATTGAGTCAATCCACCTGTAATTAGGTCTACTGCCTTTCACTTTACTAAGCATTATTTTTCCCAGTGAGAGATGTCATCTCATATGTTCAAAGTATGATAGACTCAGCGTAGTCATTTTGGCTTCTAGGGAGACTTCAGGTTTGATTTATCCTAGGGCCTATTTATTTGTCTTTTTGGTGTTCCATTGTACTTGTAAAGATTCCTCCAGTACCTGATTTTAAATGAATGAAATGACATGAACATAACTACATGGTTCTCTTTTCTTTCCTGAACAGTGGTTTAGGTATTGAAGATTTTTAATTTTATTTATATTATCTCTTTGTTGTAGTGATGAATAATGTTAATTTGTATTTAACATTCAAGTATTAAGGTTTCTGTCTCAGTTGTTCGGAAATGACCTAAATGGCTCTAGAAGAGAGGCTTGTTCTTCTGTGCTTATCCATCTCTGTTATTCTCTTTCCATCTTTGTTTCACTACACACCTGAATTCCTCATATTCTGCAGCTAAGGACAGATTGTGGATTGGTTTAGAACTGGTGGTGATCCAGTGGAGCAAGCTCCAGTAGAGCAAGCCTAGACTGTTATTACAAAAAAAGAGAGGTTTTAACTGTTATTGCTACCATTGTTGTTATTAGCTCTATTACTACCCAATCTTTTCCCCAAAACTGGGACTCAAGGCAGCTAACAAATTAAAATGAGTACAGTAATATCTGCAGATCATCCATAAAGTCAGCATGATGCTATCATTTGAGTATTTGACTAGAACTCCAGGAGACTAGGGGCCTTTACAGACTGCCAGAAATAATGCAGCTTGAGACCACTTCAACTGTCCTGGCTCAGTGCTAGGGAATCATGGGAACTGTAGTTTATTGTGGCACCAGAGTTCTCTGACAGAGAAGGCTCAATTTCTCAGAAAAAACTACAATTCCCATGATTCCCTACCTGTGAGCCAGGATAGTTAAAGTGGTCTCAAGCTGCATTATTTCTGGCAGTCTGTAAAGGCCCTAGGTTTTGAATCTTTGTTCAGCTATGGAAATTCACTGGGTGGCTTTGTGCCTTAGAGGAAGGCATTTCAAACCTCCTCTGAATAAATATTGCCAAAAAAACATGATAGGGTTGCCATAAATAAGAGTCAACCTGAAGACTCATAACAATGACACCAATAATATAACTAAAAGCCTACAAAAGGTAAACATTGAAATAGAATTAAACTAATACAAAAACAGAGAAGTAAAGTTTAATAAAGTTTAACCAATACCAGGAAGGATGGAAGTCATAATTTAAATTACCGTATTTATTTGCTATTGTTACTGGTTTTTGTTTTTTAAAAAATGTGTGTTCTTTGTTGGAATGTGTGTATGTATCTGTTATGGTATTGTTAAATATTGAAAATAAATAAAGAATATAATTGGGGGGAAATTAATCTAACAATATTGAAGCAATTTAATATGTGCAATTAAAAATAAAAAGCAGTTAAAAAAACTACAGTTAAGAACAATTCAGCACCCTTTTAAAAGCCCCTTCTTTCATAATCTTCAGTTCTAAAAACTTGTTGGAGTAAAAAAAAAAAGTCTTTGCCTACTGCTGGAAAGATGGCAAGCAAGGGACCATTCTGATCTCCCTAGGATGGGGTGTCAGAGCCCAAGGGCAGCACCAAGAACGGTCTGTCTCATGTCCCCAGCAGCTTTGCCTGTGAAGATGGTAGTACTGAAGAAAGCCTGCTCCTGAGAATCTCAGGGCCTGAGCAGGCTTATACAGGAAGATACAGGGCCTGTACAGACTGCCAGAAATAATGACACCATTTTAACTGTCCTGGCTCAGTGCTGGGGAGTCATGGGAATTGTAGTTTTTCTGAGATATTGAGCCTTCTCTCTTAGAGAGCTCTGGTGCCACAGTAAACTACAGTTCCCATGATTCCTTAGCACTGAGCCAGGACAGTTAAAAGTGGCCTCAAGCTGGATTATTTCTGGCAGTCTGTACAGACCCATAGTCTGTCAGATGGCCTGGTCCTAACTGAACATTAGGAAGAATTTCCTAGCACTAAAAGCAATCCAGAACGGTAACAAATCACTTCAGAAAAGTGAACTCTAGAATTGGAGATTTTTTTTTTTAAATGATTGGATGACACCTCTCAGAGATGTTGCAGATAGCAAGTTCTTGCACTGGCTGTCAATTAGACTACACAACGTTTGTCATTCCTTCTAACTTTACAGTTCTGTGATACTAATAAAATTTCCTTTCAAAAGAATAAGCAGTCTTTTTTGTTACTCCTGAGTTGTATTCACAGTTCTGGTTCTGATGGATTATCATAGAATCATAGAATCATAGAGTTGGAAGAGACCACAAGGGCCATCCAGTCCAACCCCCTGCTATGCAGGAACTCCCAATCAAACATCCCTGACAGATGGCCAGACAGATGGCATCCCTGACAGATGGATTATGGTATTTTGGAGTCAGGAAGCATATTTAATTTGAGCAGCAACCTTGTTTGCATTTTTCCTTTCTTGTCCAATAAGGGACTTGCCTAAATGGCCTGATACTTCTTCCTGCATGGATGCTTTTGTGATCCATTAGTCTGGATGTCATAGGCTGATACATCAAACAATGATCTTTTGTACCATTCAATTGTGAACTTATGAGTAGATGCAAGATGTGTGGTGGAAGAGTACATACATCAAACATAAAATGGGAGTTTCCTGGATATGTGCTCTGCAGGTGTTGGATCCTTCTAAACAAATTGAGGTAAAGGACACTGAAAATCCGGCATGTTTTTTTTAACCAAAATGATCCCAATTAGATGGTGGCAGATTATCAGAATGGATGATTACTCTCAACTGGTATGTCCTCTGAAGCAGCAGAAACTAGGACCCAGGTGCATTGATTCTGTAACTTCTGGATCCCTACGGGTTACATTTTTTGCAGCTACTTAAGAAAGCCACGTAGTGTTGTGGCTTGAGCGTTGGACTACAACTCTAGAGACCAGGGTTCAATTCCCAGGTTGGCCATGAAACCCACTGGGTGAACTTAGGCAAATCACATGCTTTCAGCCTCAGAGGAAAGCAATGGCAAACCTCTGAACAAATCCTGACAAGAAGACCTTCACCTTAGGGTTGGCATAAGTTGGAAACAACTTGGAGGCACACAACAACAACAAGATCGCCTGCCCCAGTAAGAGAGTTAGGCAGGTTGTCATTCCTAGCTGAAATCTTCCCTCTATGCTCCCTTCAGAACACAGCTGTTTCTTGAAGGGATCACTACTTAGAAGGAGATCCAAGTTCATAGTTCAGAGCCAAATATGAGTCCTTGGGTGCTTCAGTATTGATAGAATCTTAGCCCATGTGTTCATAGAATTGAACTGCAATTTGCATGGTGCCTAGCTTCACTTGCAGTCTTTTCCATCTGATGTATCACAGCTGTAGCCTTAGATTCTATTATTTTATCTCATGTACTTAGCCTTGAGTCATAGACTCTTTGCTTAAAAGTGGTTTGGGCATGTCAGTTTCAGCCTCTTGCTCAATGGAACTGCCAGTGCTCTTTTGTTCTAGCTAAACATGGATTTCTGGGTGGTTCCCTTTGGCTTGGTTCAAGGAGTCTACTAGTTTCTGTGTGCTTAGGAGGACTGAGAAGCTTGGAGGTGAATGCTTAAAATCATCTTAGTAGAGGGGAGCCCAGTCAAATTCTTAAGCCTTTCCAAATTATTGTGGGATGTCTACCCTATATATAGTTAATCCTACATATCACACTACTTGTGGGAAACTGCACGCATGTTTTCTAAATAGAGTACACATGAAACATCTTGTGTGCATAGTGGACTTTCTGTAATCTGTACCAAAATTGGAGTGTAATAAACATGTAAAATAAATTACAGGCTTATTTCCTCTGATTTTGGAAAAATTATGTTTGTTACATTTAAAATCCCAGAATCCCTCATCCAATGACCATGCAGGCTGGGAGATTCAGGAAGTTATAATGCAAAAAAAAAAAAAAAAGTGTTCTCTCCACCCAGGTCCATTGTTTTGCTGGTTTCTATGTACATAGATTGTAAATTGCCATAGGTTGCCTCAACCTGGTCCTCAGCTGATATTTGTCCTGCTCTCCTTTGCCCCCTTCCCTTCTTTCCCAGTCCACTGTTTGGAGCAGTGGTGGGTGAGTATCTGGGTCTGATTGTTCTTTTAATTTCTCACAGCAACCCAGAGTGATGATTTGTTGTGAGTACTTTGAGAATTTGGAAACAGTGGCTAGACCTACACACTACTATTTAGACTGCCAGTGCTGTCTGCTGCTATTTGGTACACCCAGTAGAGTCCACTGCTGGAGGAGAAGGATGACCAAAGGATTATTTGCTCAGGATTTCCTGAAAACTAGAGCCTGCCCAGTCCCTCTCTCCACTCCTCCACATGCCTGCCATCCTGGGGCTGTGACTTCTGTTGTATGTCATAGAATCATAGAGTTGAAGAGACCACAAGAGCCATCCAGTCCAACCCCCTGCCATGCAGGAACTTTCAGTCAAAGCATACCTGACAGATGGCCATCCAGCCTCTGTTTAAAGACCTCCAAAGTAGACTCCACCACTCTCTGAGGGAGAGTGATCCACTGTCAAACAGCCCTTACTGTCAGGAGGTCCCTCCTAATGTTGAGGTGGAATCTCTTTTCCTGTAGCTTGCACCCATTGTTCCGGGTCCTATTCTCTGAAAACAAGCTAGCACCCTCCTCAATATGACATCCCTTCAAATAGTTAAACAGGGCTATCATATCCCCTCTTAACCATCTCTTCTCCAGGCTAAACATACCTAGTTCCCTAAGTTGTTCCTCATAGGACATGTCCCACTCCTTACTACTGTGTTTCGTTATAAAACTGCCCATGAGTGTTAAGTAGTATTATTTCTACAACAACAAAAAACTAATGCAGTTGTACTGTATTGGAACAGAAAGGGAAAAAAAGAGGTAGTGGCTCAGTACTCAATGGAAAGGCTCAATTGGCCTGATGTGGTTTGGAAGGCTGCCTCTTGTGAAGCAGGAAACCTGTCGTTGGTCCTCTATACTCCAGTATCTGTAGTATATGTGGTTGGTCACTACTTGAGGGGCCAGATTTCACTGGTGAGATTTAGAATCATAGTGCCAGAAGGGACCAGTCTGCTCCAATGCAGGAGATCTCTGATTATTTCCAGGGAGATTCTCTTTTGCCTACATCACACATGAATGGATGGCTTCATATTCTTCCTGAGGGTAAATGCATATAAGATGTTTGTGCAAGTAGTGGTTGGTTACCTTTGAGATAGAACTTGCATGGCATTTCTAAAGAGTTCCTAGGCTTGAGTGGTGCTGCTGTGTTCCTATTTTATTATGCTTTAAATGTGTTTTTTAAAACATGTTTTTTTAAATAAAACTGATTTGATCCTGCTGTAACATTTGTGTTAATATTTTAGTTATAGTGTGTTTTTAAATGGCTGTGACACCTTGAATCCTGTGCTAAGAGAATGGTGGAATATCAAATAAATAAATTCAGGTTTTCTCTGCACTGTGTAACAGGAGCATAAAAATTAGTACAGAAAAGCCACTTTGAATGTTTTCTGGAGCTGTGTTGGCAGAGTATGCATGTGAAAAATAAAACAGATAACTTGGTTTCCTTATCTGGCAGTCTGTTTGGAGTAAGTACTGGAGGGTGAAATTGAAAGTGACATTTGGCAGCCAGGGCTCAGAACTGGCCAGAGCAATACCAGTAGTCATGCAGGCAGGGAAGGGGTTTAAGCCAGTATCTGCTTGAAGTACAGTAAGATACCTGCAGTGTTCACCTTGGCTAGGTTTGTCTCTGCCTTTTGCGGGAGTTGCTTTTACTGTATTTCAGCAGCAAGGTAATGAATATTTAAGGCTCAACTGATCTCTTGAATATGTAACACTCAAAGGGCCAAACAAATGGAGGGGTGGAGCTAGAATTGTGAAAGCACCAAGTATTCTTAATTACTTAATAGGAAACTTCACTGCAAAGTCAGCTGGCATCCATAGGTTGTGGGTTTTTCGGGCTGTGAGGCCGTGTTTTAGAAGAATATTCCTGACGCTTCGCCTGCATCTGTAGCTGGCATCTTCAGAGAACTTCACTGCCTTTTGGTCCCATAAGAGAATCTTACTGATTTCTGAAGCAACAACAGCATCCTTCATGGAAACAATATTATTGTACTCAGCTATTATGAGTATCCAGTAAAACAGTAGTTCTCAGACTTTTTACCCTTGTGACCTTTACATCTACATCCAGATGTTGCTCTCTTCTCTTCCCCCACTTGATGTAGTATATGAATAAAAATATGTTGTTTATTTAGCATGTGTATGTTTATTCACACATTCATGTATATTCATATTTTAACATCTTATAAGGAAATAGTTCTCCTCCCCCTCCCTCTCCCTCAGGCAGAGCCTCTCAGTGTTGTCCTTATCTTTCTTTTCCATTCCAGGACAGACAAACTTTAGGAGGGATGAGGGCCTTCAAATCTCATGTTATTTGATTCTTTACTGCAGTGGTTCTTAAATGGGGGAATAGGACCCCTGGGGAGGGGCACAAGAGTTGCTCAAGAGAGGCACGAGATTTGAAGGCCCTCATCCCTCCTCAGCTTTAATGTGCTGAGGTGTTCATTTATTCCATTAGATCCTCACCAACCTGGTTTTCTGCATTGTGTTGAGAGAATATTGACTGATTCACTTTGGCTGTGGGCGCACCAAGTTAAAAAAAGTCCCCATCTCAAAATATTTGCTGCTAGTATAGTCGCCCCTCTGTTTTCATCCGTTTCGGACCCCCCCCCCATGAAAATGGGAAACTGCAAATATTCAAGTCCCAAAGGCTTGAATGGTGGAGCACACCCCATTTTGTCCCCCTCTATTTGTTGCCCGCAAACAGGCGAGGGACGCGGACTTCATGTCCACGAAAATGGAGGGGCAACTCTACTTACTGGATTAAGCCTCTTAATTGTTTTGGCTGGGCTTTGTTTACCTTACATATTGGTGGTGTTAATATCTCCCAGCAAAAAGTAAGTGCAGTACTAGACTGGCCACTCTGTCTTGGAACCTTGTTTCTGATGTGTGTATTACATTTTAGAGCTTTTTAAAATAGTCTCCATGACATTTCTACCATCATAAAACTTTTTCATTTTTTTATTATCAGCTTTACCTAATGTCTTCTTCCATATACCTTCTCCCAGGCATTTTGTTCCTTGCCAAAGAGATTGACCACAAAGAATCGCCAAGATAGCTGGCTCGGGAAGAAAACGTCGCACCCCTGACCCAGACTCTGTCACTGACCCCGGCGGGCCGTTTGTCTCATCCAAACGGCTGAAAATGTCCAGTAGTGCCAGTGTATCTGGTCAGAGGAGAACAGCACGGGGAGCAGATGATGCGACCAACAAGAAGAAACAGAAGGATCGAGCTAATCAGGAGAGTAAGGAAGGCGAGAGACCAGTTGGCAGTGACTCAAAGAAAGGTAAGTCTTTGTGGTGGAGATATCCATCATTGTACAGACCTAGAACTGGAAAGCTGTATATACAGGAGGTTAAAGTGGGGGGTCGTCTTATACGCCAGGTATAAGGAGGTTCATGATAGGTTTGCCTTAGTGTCATCATCAGTTGGAAATGACTTGAAGGTGCACAGCAACAACAACAACAGTTTTGGAAGTCATACTCTTCCCAAACTCTATATTTTAACTGAAAAAGTGGGGGGTCGTCTTATACGCCCAGTCGTCTTATACGCCGGAAAATACGGTACTTTGAAATTCTTAGAAAACATTGTTACTTACTTTCTGTTTAGCACATAGAGTTTGGAAGCTGCTTAACAGAACTCAGCAGGAAAGATAGCTCCTCCCCAGATTAGCTGGATTATACATAAAAACCCCACCCCTGTATAGTTACTTAGTCAGGATATCTAACATCTTTTGGTTACATAGTTGTCAGAACTAATGATCTAGAATTCCCACTCCACCTATAATGCAGCCTGGAAGAATTAACTCTATTTTCACCCACTTATA